CTCGTGCTGTGCCTTTGCAGGGAGTGTGAAGCACAGCTTTGTATGGTAGCCTTAGGGTAGCTGAAGTTTGCATAGCCTGTGGAAGCATAGTAGGAAGGGGCCAGGGAGGGCACTTGTCTGTGTGGCTTATTATGAAATGCTTCATCCGCACCATTAATGATTAGTGCAGGTTTATTGTTCTTCACACATGATGTAAGGCACAGCTTCCACAGAGCTCTCACACAGCGCCCTCCAGAAAATGGGAAAGCTGCTGTTGTTAACTACAGCACTAATCCGTACCCATGGTTGTTAAGTTATATGGGCTTTTGTGTGAAATTTTGGGTTTTTTTTCCCTTTTAACTCCGTCCAGTTTGAAGAGGTTGTAGGTGAGCTAGAACGGAGCTCTGCATGTTTTCACTTGTTTGTCTCGGCCCTGTTCTCCTACTGAGCAGTCACCACCACTCATGCATGCTGTTGACGTCAGTACACTTTTTTTTCCCTATAAGATTCTGTGTTTCCAAGCCGTGACCTGGAATCAGCTGCTAATGAAGATGAAGAGAAAGCTCAGCTTCTTTGCCTGACTTAATCATCACTCTAGGAATTGTACTGTTGCATCCAGAATAGGACTTGCTTGTTTTCTGATGCTTGTAATGAGTTTTCATTTATTTGTGACCTATACTTGGATACAAACCAATAGTCTACAGGTGAGAACTCTGCTCTTGCCAATTTATTCAGCAATCCAAGCTCAGCTTGGTTTTGGAATGGAGTTTTTCAGTAAGAAAAACAAACAAACCAGCTGCTCCTTGGGCAAATGTGTTATACACAGACACTTAAGCTCCTTAAATGGGTAGTCTCATTGCAGTGCTAGATGTTGTTTTGTGTTGGTTTAATTCCTCTTCCCTGCAGCAAGTCTGGCTGAGGAAGGGGAAAAGGAAAAATCTGCTCAGTTGTTAGGGTTGGGGCATTTCTGAGCAACATTCCTCAAACTGCTTAAAATCTTGGAGGAATAAAAGCCACTTTAGGAACAGAAGACAGGAAATTCAGCTTTTTCTGAGGGGAGAATAGTATGTAGCTTTGAAGCAATGGCATCAAAATGCATTAAGGCTTTCCATGTTTCTGAATGAATGTGATCATGTCAAATAATTTCAGTAACACTTGAAAAAGTTTGAATCTGGGCTACTTGGGTCTGTTAAAGTGCTGGTGTTTGCATGTGTGGATGTGTGTCCAAGGTCTGAGCTGCTCAGGATGGAGCAGTGTTCCAGCCTGTCCTTTTCCAGAAAAACATCCACATACTGATCATTTTAGGAAAGCAACCTTTTACAGCCTGCAGAGCAATTTGTTTAGGAATGTTCCAGTTCCATGTGCTGGAGGGTCACATTTGCTAACTTTTCTGCCCCAAACTATCAGGCTGTCTCCTACCTGGGTGGCAACCAACAAGAACCTCTGCCTTGTGATTCTTTCCAGAGTTCCCCAGTCTCCAAGTTTCTATTACTTTGAAATACAAATATAAAAATAAATTAAAAAAAAAAATACTTCAGTGTGTTTCTAGCATTGGAGAGGCTTATGGTTTTAGTGCATTTTTTACTACCTTTTATCAGTGGCTTTGCTCAAAGGCAGTTCTTCATTTTGCTGCCTGGGTACACTGTGCAGAAGTTTATTGAAGTCAAGCTAGCATCTAGAAAGCTGCTCAGATATTTGTGTATTCGTTGAGTATTTACAGCATCGATATGCTTGCTCTGTCCTCTCCTGGCTGTTGCTGTAAAACCCTTCTGTACCGCTGTGATCTTTCACATGAGCAGTGATCACTTCCCTTCCTGCTGAAGGAGCTGCATCCTTCCTGTGCCATAACTGGCTGCTGGGGGCCCTTGTTGCCTGGGTAACAGGGAAACCTTAAAAATATATATTGTTTTGCATTCTCTCTGTGTTCTCATGAGAACTCAACATTCTTTTCTGTGTCCTTTTGTGCTGAACAACTTCAGTAGCCCAAGCTGGTGTGTTGTGCAGGAGGTCTCAGAACGTTTCTGACTTACAGCAGTGGCATTACTGGGTGCTGCAGCTCAGGTGTTTGCTTGCTGTGCTCCATGCACGGCTCACTGCATGGTCTGGGCGGGAGCTCTGCCTGGCTGCAGCAGTGGGAGCACTCCTGCGGGCAGCACACTCGCCTTCTCATCTTCTCTCTGACAATTTGCATTTGCAAGCATTGCTTAAAATAGCTCCGAACTCACCGTGCCTTCTGGTAAATGCATTCAGCCTTCTCTTAGCTTTTGGACTCCAACCAACATGACGCTTCTTCACACTCTGCCTTTGAGCCATTTACAGCATTTTAAGGGTTGTCAGTGGAGTCTGACCCTCTCCAAAAGTCACTGCCAAAAGCCTCACAACCGCAGAGCTGTGCTTGTCCCACTCGGCTCCTGCAGATGGGTCTGACGTAGGTGCACAGCCATAAAATGAAGACTCTGCTTGCAGTGGACGGATTCTGTGCCTTAACCCATGTATCCACATCCTTCTCCATGTTTTGAATGTGATGTGGCTCAAGAGTCTGGAGTATTTTTACCAACAAGAGAGAAAGGATGGGTGTTTGTTGGCCAGGTTTGTGGTAGCTTTTGACATTAGCAACTTGTCATAGGTTGATGGTCAGCCTAGGATAGCCCCATCCCTGGAGGTACCCAAGGCCATGCATGAGGCCCTGGGCACTCTGAGCTGGTGGGGGGGCAGCTGGCCCACAGCAGGGATTGAAGCTGGGTGATCTCTGACCCATACTATGAGGCTATGCTTCTGTGGTAGGGCTGTGCAGTTTTTATTGCAAGAGGTTTCCTCTACAGTGTCTTGAAGAACAAGAAAAACAAACCTAAAAACACACACCCACACCTCCAAGCTGGCTGCTCTTTAATAGGATTTTTTATAATATGACTTATCTGATGATGATTAAGCAATTGAATGTTTATAGCGTATGCTTTGACCTTGATGTTAGTTCAGCTGGGCAAGGATATAAACGATGAATAAATTCCACAGCAAGCTTATCCCATTGTGTTTGAAACCAGCTCTTGGATATGCTTCTCTAAAACAGGGACGCTCTTGTTGAAATGCATGGATTTAAAGAACGGTACAATTTTAGCTGCAGTAGCTAAATTTAAAAACTGTTGGGGTTTGGCTCTTTCTCTTTTTTTCTTTCAGCAGCAAACTGTCTGCTTGTTTCTGTGAGCCACGATCCAGAATTTAGCGCTGCGCCATTTACGGAATTGATGAGGTGTACAGAATGAAAGGAACATTTTAAAGCTGAAGGCTGAGGACTTCGGGCCTTACTACATAAATCACACGCAAAGCATCCTGAAAGCTCTGGAGCCAATACAGTTTTGATCAAGCTGGTTTGCTTGGAGATTCATAAATGATACAAGACTGCCCTGAGTGCCATATTTCTCTGAATTTCCTTTTTTTTTTCACTTTGTTTTCTCAATAAATACCACAGCACGGCAGTCTTGGCACTACTGGTACAAACAGAAAGTCCCCAGAAGTGGCTGATACTTTAGCCAAACATGTCCTCTGTGTGTTTTCATCAACAAAAAAAAAAGGGGGTGGGCCATCTGTGTAAAAGACAGCACATATCCCCAAGTTAAATGTTAGAGCACGCTCATTTTGCTGATCAAACAGCAAAGTTTAAGGGAAGCCACTGTCAACATGAAGAAGCCTCCAGCCAAGAAAAAAAAAGAAGCCATCATTTCTAACAAGGAGCAGTTGGGTGTTTGTTGTGTGCAGGAGTGCCGAGTCAAAGCATTTTAACTATTCCGTAGCTCAGGGACTTGGCTTCCCTTCAAAGGCTCCAACTACAAAAGGATGGATAATGTTGCAAGTGAATGTGCCCCCTCTAGGGGCAAAAATGTGGAAATTCGCTGGAGCAGGTAAACCTGAGGCACTGGAGAGGCATTTCCTTGGAGTGGGAATATCTGTTTTATTTTTAACTCCACTGAGAAGGGATTTCTGTTGTGGTGGGGATGCAGTTTCCTTGGCATCCCGTTTCCCTGGCTCGCTGCAGGCGGTGACGTGTGCTGTGCGTAGCAGGGCTCATTTCTTGGCTTCTGACACTGCAGTTGTAGGATGCTAGAAAAACGTGCTGCTGTTTTTCCAAGGTAGCTCTTGAAATGCCTTTGTACAGGGTGTGTTTCATACTGGGTTTAAAATTTTTCCGCTTGCATTTATTAGTTCTGCAAGACTCATAGGTTCTTGAGCTGTTTAGTGTGTGTGCTGTGACCAGTAGGGAAGGATGTGCTGTATGCAAGGCAGCATAACTATCTTTTATAGCAACAGCCAGGTTATCTTGGGGAACCTCTCAGGAGTCTGAGGAGATGGAAATGACTCCTGACACTACTGGGATGTGGGACTGCTTTAAATCTGCTCTGGTTCTGTGTGTGCCACATGTCACTGCTCCAGCAATGACACCCTGCTCCATTTGGAAACGCAGAGTTGTCCAGCTTGGGTGGCTGTGTTTGTTTTCTCTGGCACTAAAGCACTAAAACACAGAGCCTATATGAAACCATTTCAGCTATTTCTGCATGTTTGAGAAGTTACAAAGACTTTTTTTTTTTTTTCACAGTGGTCTTTTGCCTCCAGGCTTCACCATTTTGTCTTTTCATAACTCATGTTTGGGATTGTTTAATTCATCCCAGTAGTATTTTCTGGATGTTTGCATGCCCTAAATGCTCGGCTGTGCTGCCAGTGAAGTGCCCTTCTACATGGCTCATGTAGGGTATGGCTCGCTCCATCTCATCCTTCTTGCTGCTCCTGAAGTTTATCAGCTCTGTCTGAAAGGTTGGGTGCATTTGAGGGAGTGCTTCAATTCAATCCCAAGTTTCCACGTGGAAACAAGGTGAAGCAGTTCCTAATGGGAACTTAAGGTTCATCTTTTAAGACCTCAAAACCTAAATCGTTGCCATAACAGTGGGGTTAACGCTCCGAAGTGTTACTGCTTCAGTTTTAAACATGAAATACATCCACACTCACTGTTTCCTGTTCTCTTACCCCTCAAGGTGCTCTTACAGAGTGTTACGATGAACTGGGCAACCGGTACCAGCTCCCCGTCTACTGCCTCGCTCCACCCATCAACATGATTGAGGAGAAGGGCGACCTGGAGACTCTGGACATCCCTGACCCACCGCCCAACTCAGGGCACGAATGCCAGCTCCGTTTGCGCCTGTCCACAGGCAAAGACCTCAAACTCATGGTCCGCAGCATGGACACGGTGTACCACATGAAGAGGCGGCTGCACGCAGTGGAGGGAGTGGAGCCCGGCAGCCAGCGCTGGTTCTTTTCGGGCCGGCCGCTCGCAGACAAAATGAAACTGGAGGAGCTGAAAATCCCAAAGGACTACGTGGTGCAAGTCATTGTGAGCCAGCCCTTAGCAAACCCGACCCCGGTGGAAAACTGATTTCTGCTTGTTTATCGATTCTCCTTCTTTCCCTCTCTGTCGTGGGACTGGTTTTCACTGCCCTGTCTTCTTTCGTTTTGTCCTGCTAAATGGATTGGTTCCAAGAATTGACCAGCAAAAATTCCATCTGTGATGGAGATCTGCAAAAACAAAACATAAAAACGTAAACTGGCCTTTGGGATTTGCCTGATCTCATATTTAACACAGCAGCAAGCAGCAAAGGGTGAAGAAAGGAGTGGGGAAGGGAAGGGAAAAGGGAGGGCGTGCAAAGAGGGAGGGACAAGGTTGTCTTTCACTTAAACAATAAAAGCATGTAATGATCCTTAAAACTGTAGGTGGTGTCCTGATCCACGGAACAAGAGTAAGAGAGCACTTTTATTTAAAAAATAAAAAATTGATATTTCATATCAGCACCACCTACAGTTCACGCAAGACTTGCAGCTGCCCTGCGTAGGTCCCACTGTGTGTTGTGGGGATCTTGCTGGCTAACCCAATGCACAGCTTCATCTGGGTGCTGCTGAGGCATTGCCAGTCCTGGGCAGGGAGCGAGGCTGGGGCTCAGCCCTTGTCCTTCTGGCAGCTTCTGCCGTGCTCAGCCCACACAGTTGTACATTCCGAGGTTGCAATGCAGTCCTGTGCCATTGCTGGTGCCAGCGCTGGGGACGCAGCCTGCTGGGGCCTTAGGCAATAACTTTGTGAAAGTATACTCTCACGTACTGTACTGTAAACCTACAAGACTGACTTTGCCTGAAGTTTACCTGCTGACTGGCACCTGGGTGTGTGCTGCCGCAGTACTGTATAGCACTCAGAGCATTCAAACAGACTTTGAGCAAGCTAGCTAGGAGGAGTGGTGCGCTGGTCTGCAATTAAGGATGAGGTGCATGACTGTGTGGTGGCACTGGTGTGCCCACTGCAGTAGGTTAAGTGCAGATACACCCAAATGCAATGGATTGCAGCCTCCCCTGCTCCCTTCTGGAGGGCTCCACGTGGAAAATGGTAAGAACATAAAAGCACACAAGTTTCAGCTTTTCCTATGTCATTTAAAGCAGCAGTCATTCTCGATTTGGAGATATCCTCACCAACACACAGCAGCAGTGCAGAGTGTGGCTGTGGTGTCCAATCAACAGTACTTTCCCTTCAGAATGTAAGAGGAGTCCTTGTGGCAAATGACAAATCCTTTTCTAGTCTCAAAAATTTGAATCAGACAAACATATCTGGGGGGGAAGAATCTGATCATCGCTTACCTCGGGTAGAGATGTGCTCTGTTCCTTGGGCTTGTCTGGCAATGCCTTTGCTTGAGATCAAATCCACTCCTTTTAAACTTCATTTCTAGTTTGCTTGTTTTTGCAGCCATCAGTGAAATCATTTCTTCGAAGGTCCAACACACTGGCCAGGTTTGATTTTGTTTCATTGATTTCTGCCTTCCCATTCTGAATCTGCGATCTAAACCTACAGTTGCCTCAACTCTTACTCATCTGCTGGTGAAACTGCTGGGTTAGGATCAGCCATTTGAAACCTGATTAATTGCATAGAACTCCCTTTGTCTGGCTGTGAGGGAGTTTCTTGCTCCACAAGTATCACTGCAGAGCCAGAAGGACCCTGGAACACCATCGCAAGTCTGACCCAACAGGTGGAAGCAGATGCAGGTAATAGGTGCAGCCAACCTTCACCTCTTGGAAAACAGATCCACATTTTATGTGTATTACTTCTCTATCCCAGAATAGCTTTCATTTTGGTCCCTGTGTTGTATGCTAAGATTTCCTTACAGCTCCTAAAGTCCCAGTTTTGTGCAGGATGTTGGAAGTGTAGTGGCAGAGCTGTAAAGGAGAATTAGTTTCTTGTTCTCATAAACACCCAAGTGACTTGTTCTTCGCTTTTTTGGTTTATTTGTGGTTTTTCTTTTTAAAGATTAAATCAAGGCTGATAAATACTAATCTAGAACAACAGTTTTCTATTGTGGAGTTTTTTATGACAAATATGCTTTCTTATACTGGGGTTTTGCAGCCAAGTCTTTTGCATTCCAGAGGGAAAAATATTTATTTGGTATATAAACAACTCAAATCTCTTTGATTTTTCACTAGTCAAAGGGTGGCTTTGTGCCAGGAAGGCTCTTCTTGTCATGTAAGGCATAATTGTACATCTTCATATGAACGTTCACGTCCCTCCAGTCCTTTCTGGGAAGGGGAAATTGTGATAGGTGATTAAGAGAGAGCAAAGTTAAAACCAGCGTGATATTTCTGAAACTGTGAACACTACAACACTACTTTTTGAGGGGTATATTTTGGAGTTTTGGGTTTTTTTTTCATTCAGGCAATTGTCACCATGTACAGCTTTTGAGATTAGACTATAGGAGCTGGAAGACTTTGTTCTTCCTTTCTTGACCCTTTCAGAATAGCATCATTTGCAGTATGCTGTACCAGATAATCACGTTTTTTGTTATGTTTTTCTGGCAGGGTGCTCAGTGATGGTCTGAAGGCTGTGTCATGTGTGAGCTCTGAGCAGAACAGAGGAGTGGTTGGTGAAGGTGCTCTGTTCTCTGACAGCCTCTCCTCTCTCCTGACCACTAAGCACACAGCCAGAACTGTCAGAAATTCAGTGTTTTTACAGGTGGCAGTGAAATCTTTTCATTTATGAAATGAAGCAAATGTGCTTAGCACATACCCTGCTGGAAACAAATTTTACAAGATTTACATGAGAAAAGAATTCCAAGTTGCAAATATATATACATATATATATATATAGTAAAAATCAGTAAGGAATACATATAATAAAAATCAGTAAGGAAAGCATACAGCATGTTGACTAACTTATCCCTTGTATATTCCTGGAGGCTGCAGTATGCATTGAGAGAACAGTCACTTCTGTCTGCGGAATGCTTTGTCTTTGTGCTCCAAGATGGTCTGCAGTGCCAGTGCCAGTGCAGGGGACCCAGGTTGGATTTGCATGGAACTCGTGCTGGTTCCCGGAGCAGGGCAGAGGGAAGGGCTTGCTGCAGTGCAGAGCAGGGGGGGGCATGGCTGAAGCGAGTCCAACCAAACTGAAATGCCTTTCAGCTCAGTGCCCCAGGAGAAGTGGGACGGGGGCAGGTCTGTGGCTGCTCACATGGGGAGGATGAGAGGAGCCTGCTGGTGCTGCCCCTGTGCTTAGTGGTGTGGGAAAAGCTGAGCGGTGAGCTCAGTGCTGCTGGCAGCCTGGGCTGTGCTGGGCTGAGTGATGCAGCAACTTCAGTGATGCGCACAACCACGAACTGCAATGCCAGCTGCACACAAGTGAGGAAAAATAGGACTCTGGGTTTTTTTGTTAAGCCTGTCAGCCCTTTGTGTCATTCCTGATCAACTCTGGCCGTGAATTGAGCCAGTAGATGACATTTTTTGCTGTCTGATGTGCTTCAGATTTTTCTACCCTCCCTTGTTGCTTCTTCCTGACCCAGAAGTGACAAAGCAGTAAAAGCCCACGCTCCTGGGCAGCGGGGAGTGCAAAGGACAGAACACTGCCTGCTGGGAGCTGCAGGACAGAGGTTACTTGCAGCAGGGGGCTCCTGGTCTTCCACAGCCAACTGGCAGCAGTCCTGCATGGTGCCCTGCACCTAAGAGCCCAGTTCACTGTGTTGGCTGCTTGTGAGTGGCTGTGTATTAGCATCATGTACAGAGGAACAGCTGGGAATAACTGCACTATGAATGTTCTTAGTTTTCTGGAAGCCTTTATACTCTGGAGCTTGGAAGATTTATTGATGTGAATCAGCAGTGTAACGAGTTGGGATTTTAATAGCCACAAAAATACTGAAAGTAATAGAAACAACACAACAAATGAACTCATCAACCAGACAGAGCACAGCTCCTCTTTGCCTTCCATAGCAAGCTCATAGGTCGGCTTGGGGAGGAGAGGGGTGGGATTCCTTGATGCAACAAGGCAACACGTGCAGTGCGAGTAACAGTAGAGCAGATGGCCAGCTGACAAAAGTATTGCTGTAGTATGACATGCTTCTGCATAGATATCTATTGTTAGTAATGTAAAAACTTCAACGATACTATTAAAGAGCCTAGTTTGTTGCAACGGTGGGATGCTTTTAGCTGTGGGATTTTGAAAGCATTTTAGCTGTGTGTTGGCAAACTGAATGCTGTACATTTCTCCATCTCTGCCTTGTTCAGAGAGACAAGCGGTAGCGACATTTCTGACTCCTGATCTATATTCTACAAACTCTTTTCTGCATCACTGTAAATACCTTCCAGACTCTCTGCACCTTTTGCAGATCATGTTAATGTTGGGGGAAGGGGGTGGGAAATGAAGGATTTTTGTTGGCTTTTTCACTACACTGCTCAGATCTCGTTCTGTTGAAATAAATGGAGGCTCTGTTGGAAAGGGGCTTTCTTCCTTTGCCCTTCTCCACTTCCCCATAAGCCTGATCCCTCCCGGCTGGCAGCTCTTGGGCAGCTTGTGCTCCATGGGAAGCATGGAGAGGGATTCTGAGAAAGGAGTTACTGCAGAGTTGCTTTGGGGATGAGGGATGAGCTTTCTACGCTCTGCAAACTTGCTTGGACAAAACAAAATGAAAGCCTCACATTCCTGAGATGGTGACAGTCTGCCTTGCAAGTTAACCATTGCAGGAAGTCTTTGAGCTAAACTCAGCAACTCTGCTTCGGTCTTCTCCCAAAGAAGATGAATGTCCTGCTTTATATCCGCAGCTACAACGCTTCTGTTGGTCACTGACTGTATATACAAGTCTGCCTGCTTTGAGACTTCCATTTTCATAAAGAGTTTTTGACTGCTCTGTTCTGCCGATGGCTCCCCTTTCCCACACTTCATCCATTCAGATGCTTCGTGGCCGCATGTGTGTGTTGCTCTTGTTCATAGGAGATGGAGCTCCTTCCATGGCAGACGTGGCACGGCACCGACCCTACAGACGTCAGCAGTCAGAAGATGAGGTGTTCAGCCAGCGGGCTTCATTCTGTGGACTTTGAGACTTGCTGTAAATGTGTCCACTGGACTCTCTGTGAAGAAGTGTGTTCCAGCAGGACCACTTGTTGGGTATTTATCCGGTAGAACTCGTATTTGTATATTTTACAGACAATAACCATTTGATCAGAGCCATGGGGC